CTAATTTCCACAGACCAATTCCACCTCAGATGGAGAGGACACCTTCTCAAGGTGTCCCCTGCAAAGTTTCAGGACATTCTGATGTTGTTTTACAAAATAAGAGCCCCCCAAACTCATATATTAGGCCTACCTGTTGTCTCCATACATTCAGAAAATCATAAAAATAAAAGTCCTAATTTCCACAGACCAATTCCACCTCAGATGGAGAGGACACCTTCTCAACGTGTCCCCTGCAAAGTTTCAGGACATTCTGATGTTGTTTTACAAAATAAGAGCCCCCCAAACTCATATATTAGGCCTACCTGTTGTCTCCATACATTCAGAAAATCATAAAAATAAAAGTCCTAATTTCCACAGACCAATTCCACCTCAGATGGAGAGGACACCTTCTCAACGTGTCCCCTGCAAAGTTTCAGGACATTCTGATGTTGTTTTACAAAATAAGAGCCCCCAAAACTCATATATTAGGCCTACCTATTGTCTCCATACTTTCAGAAAATCATAAAAATAAAAGTCCTAATTTCCACAGACCAATTCCACCTCAGATGGAGAGGACACCTTCTCAACGTGTCCCCTGCAAAGTTTCAGGACATTCTGATGTTGTTTTACAAAATAAGAGCCCCCAAAACTCATATATCACCTGTTGTATGCATACATTCAGAAAATCATAAAAATAAAAGTCCTAATTTCCACAGACCAATTCCACCTCAGATGGAGAGGACACCTTCTCAACGTGTCCCCTGCAAAGTTTCAGGACATTCTGATGTTGTTTAAAAAAATAAGAGCCCCCAAAACTCATATATTAGGCCTACCTGTTGTCTCCATACATTCAGAAAATCATAAAAATAAAAGTCCTAATTTGCACAGACCAATTCCACCTCAGATGGAGAGGACACCTTCTCACCGTGCCCCCTGCAAAGTTTCAGGACATTCTGATGTTGTTTTACAAAATAAGAGCCCCCAAAACTCATATATCACCTGTTGTCTGCATACATTCAGAAAATCATAAAAATAAAAGTCCTAATTTGCACAGACCAATTCCACCTCAGATGGAGAGGACACCTTCTCACCGTGCCCCCTGCAAAGTTTCAGGACATTCTGATGTTGTTTTACAAAATAAGAGCCCCCAAAACTCATATATCACCTGTTGTCTGCATACATTCAGAAAATCATAAAAATAAAAGTCCTAATTTGCACAGACCAATTCCACCTCAGATGGAGAGGACACCTTCTCACCGTGCCCCCTGCAAAGTTTCAGGACATTCTGATGTTGTTTTACAAAATAAGAGCCCCCAAAACTCATATGTTAGGCCTACCTGTTGTCTGCATACATTCAGAAAATCATAAAAATAAAAGTCCTAATTTCCACAGACCAATTCCACCTCAGATGGAGAGGACACCTTCTCAAGGTGTCCCCTGCAAAGTTTCAGGACATTCTGATGTTGTTTTACAAAATAAGAGCCCCCAAAAATCATATATTAGGCCTACCTGTTGTCTCCATACATTCAGAAAATCATAAAAATAAAAGTCCTAATTTCCACAGACCAATTCCACCTCAGATGGAGAGGACACCTTCTCAAGGTGTCCCCTGCAAAGTTTCAGGACATTCTGATGTTGTTTTACAAAATAAGAGCCCCCCAAACTCATATATTAGGCCTACCTGTTGTCTCCATACATTCAGAAAATCATAAAAATAAAAGTCCTAATTTCCACAGACCAATTCCACCTCAGATGGAGAGGACACCTTCTCAACGTGTCCCCTGCAAAGTTTCAGGACATTCTGATGTTGTTTAACAAAATAAGAGCCCCCAAAACTCATATATTAGGCCTACCTGTTGTCTCCATACATTCAGAAAATCATAAAAATAAAAGTCGTAATTTCCACAGACCAATTCCACCTCAGATGGAGAGGACACCTTCTCAACGTGTCCCCTGCAAAGTTTCAGGACATTCTGATGTTGTTTTACAAAATAAGAGCCCCCAAAACTCATATATCACCTGTTGTCTCCATACATTCAGAAAATCATAAAAATAAAAGTCCTAATTTCCACAGACCAATTCCACCTCAGATGGAGAGGACACCTTCTCAAGGTGTCCCCTGCAATGTTTCAGGACATTCTGATGTTGTTTTACAAAATAAGAGCCCCCCAAACTCATATATTAGGCCTACCTGTTGTCTCCATACATTCAGAAAATCATAAAAATAAAAGTCCTAATTTCCACAGACCAATTCCACCTCAGATGGAGAGGACACCTTCTCAACGTGTCCCCTGCAAAGTTTCAGGACATTCTGATGTTTTTTTACAAAATAAGAGCCCCCAAAACTCATATATTAGGCCTACCTATTGTCTCCATACATTCAGAAAATCATAAAAATAAAAGTCCTAATTTCCACAGACCAATTCCACCTCAGATGGAGAGGACACCTTCTCAACGTGTCCCCTGCAAAGTTTCAGGACATTCTGATGTTGTTTTACAAAATAAGAGCCCCCAAAACTCATATATTAGGCCTACCTGTTGTCTCCATACATTCAGAAAATCATAAAAATAAAAGTCCTAATTTCCACAGACCAATTCCACCTCAGATGGAGAGGACACCTTCTCAAGGTGTCCCCTGCAATGTTTCAGGACATTCTGATGTTGTTTTACAAAATAAGAGCCCCACAAAACTCATATATTACCTGTTTTGTCCATACATTCAGAAAATCATAAAAATAAAAGTCCTAGCTTCCACAGACAAGTTTCACCTCTGCTGGAAAATACACCTTCTCAAGGTGTCAACTTTAGTGTTTCAGGACATTCTGATGTTGTTTTACAAAATAAGAGCCCCCCAAAACTCATATATTACCTGTTTTGTCCATACATTCAGAAAATTATAAAAATAAAAGTCCTAGCTTCCACAGACCAATTCCACCTCATCTGGAGAGTACACCTTCTCAAGGTGTCAACTACAATGTTTCAGGACATTCTGATGTTGTTTTCCATAATAAGAGCCCCACAAAACTCTTATTTACACTGTTTTGTCCATACATTCAGAAAATCATAAAAATAAAAGTCCTAGCTTCCACAGACCAATTCCACCTCAGCTGGAGAGTACACCTTCTCAAGGTGTCAACTACAATGTTTCAGGACATTCTGATGTTGTTTTACAAAATAAGAGCCCATCAAAACTCAAATGTATGCTGTTTTGTCCATACATTCAGAAAATCATAAAAATAAAAGTCCTAGCTTACACAGACCAATTTCATCTCAGATGGAGAGGACACCTTCTCACAGTGTCAACTACAATGTTTCAGGACATTCTGATGTTGTTTTACAAAATAAGAGCCCCCCCAAAACACATATATGTGCTGTTTTGTCAACACATTCAGAAAATCCTAAAAATAAAAGTCCTAGCTTACACAGACCAATTTCACCTCAGATGGAGAGGACTCCTTCTCACGGTGTCAACTAAAATGTTTCAGGACATTCTCATGTTGTTTTACAAAATAAATGGCCTTTAAAAACTTCTGTTTTCTTACGAGAGGTTCTCTCGTATTGCGTAAGTTGCTTACACTACGGGTAAAGTAATCTTTTCTCGAGATCTGAAGCCAAAAATTATCCTTAATTTTCTATTTATTGTCAACGCAATGCGGCAGACAGCAGAACATAGCAGGCTGTATAAGCGTGCTCATTGGCTGTCCTGGGGCAACTGCAGCAGCCTACCGGTGAGCCCTACGCGCCCTCCATGCGTCACAGCCTGCCAGAATGGGTGTGGCTAGCGTATATAAAAGAAGGGCTCAACAGGCTGAACTCTGATTTTCATCTCTTCAGCGAAGCTGCCGCCGTCTAAACAAGCGACCAGCAATCCTAGGAAAGCGTCTGAGGAAGCCGGCCGTCTTCGCCGCCTTCAGCCATCCATGCCTGCTGCGCTATGCGGCGATTATATCCTTTTCTGCTGTATGTGTGTCCACACAATTTTCTCTTGTAAAAGAGCGCGAGGCGTTTTTCTCAAAATCCGCCATCTCATCTGTGATCTCTGTCTGGGCCGTGAGCACGCCGTCGCCGTGCTCTCTTCGGGCGGCTGCCCTGAGTGCGAGGAGCTTTCAATGTCGACCCTGCGGGCTCGACTTGAAGCTTTCAAAGACGAAGCTGTCACTCTGCCTGTCTCTGCTGGGCCGCGCAGAAAGAAGCGCCGCTCCCTATAGGCCACCGGAGACCGATGTGGTGCCTAAAAGCTCGCCGGAAGCCTTACCTCAAGCTTTTTTATCTCCTTCTCCACGCCGGCTCCCGCCCGCGCCTCCTCAGGGGATGAAGCGGTCGAAGTGGATGAGGACGCCGCCGCTGACAGCTGCTCTATCCTGGCTTCTGACAGCGAGGGATGGTCCGGTTCACACCACTCTGCCTCCTCATCAGTCCAGGAGTCCGGTCTTACTCGGGCCGGCGTGGATGAGCAACTCCTGCGCCTCCTCACCAAGGCCGTTGACCAACTTGGCCTCGAGTGGTCAGCGCCTGATGAGCCCGCGCTGAACAGACTCGATGGCTGTTTCCTTCATCGCCGCCGCCAAGCACCCGCATCCAGGACTGCACCCTTCCTGCCAGAGCTCCACGCTGAGCTTTCCAAATCGTGGAATGCTCCGTTCTCCACGAGAGTCCACTCTCATGTCTCCTCGGCGCTCTCACAGGTTGACGGCGACACCAAGAAAGGGTATAGCTCCATCCCCCCAGTGGAAGAAGCGGTTGCAGCGCACCTTTGCCTGCCTTCTGGATGGCGTTCAAAGACTTCCCTCCCATCCAAGACCTACAGGACTACATCAGCCCTTGTCGGCCGCGCTTTCGCCGCCACCAGACAGGCTGCCTCAGCCTTGCACTCCATGGCAGTCCTACAAATCCTCCAAGCCGATCTCCTCCGTTAGCTGGATGAGAAAGGCCCGGATCCTGCCTCCATCACGGATTTGCGCAGCGCGACGGACCTCTCCCTTCGCGCTACTAAATCCGCTGCCCAGGCTCTTGGAAGGTGCATGTCCTCGCTGACCGTCACAGAGCGGCACCTCTGGTTGACGCTCGCCGACATAAGGGAGTCCGAGTGGGCTGTTTTCCTCAACGCCCCGTTCTCCGCCACCGGCCTCTTTGGCCCATCGGTTAGCGGGATCGTAGGCCGCTTCTCGGAGGTACAAAAGACCACGCAGGCTATGAACCTTTTTCCGCTCGAGCTCACCCGCACGCCGCCCTCGGGACCAGCCTGCTCGAAGCCTCACTCAGCGTCCGGCTCAACCTCCGTTTTCGCAGCGTCGACAGGGCGGGGACTCCAGCCTAAGATCGCGCTGAAACCTGAGCCTGCGAAGTCCTCCTAGCAGCTTGAAGGAGGAAAAGACGGTTAAGCCCCGCCGCGGCCGGTCCACCGTCAAAGTTTTCCGCTCTGCCAGTCTGCCGTAGTTAAGGCTACTGCAGATGTGTTTTACGCAGCCAACGAGCCGGTGACACAACCCACTCGCCTGTATACAACCGCCGTTGTCACGGCGACCCAAAGAAATGTCAAAAAGAGCATAATGTCTGGTTGTCCGGCTCACGCCGCATGTGTTTTAAGTGTAGAAAATAATAATAATAATAATAATTCATTACATTTATATAGCGCTTTTCTAGGCACTCAAAGCGCTTTACATGGAAGGGGGAATCTCCTCAACCACCACCAATGTGCAGCATCCACTTGGAAAATGTGCCCACGTCTCAATGTTCACCCCTACACACAAGCCCTGTGTCTCTCACAGAGCCCACTCTCATAAAGCTGGCAAAAGCCGCTCGAGTGTTAGATGTAGGACATGTGCCTGCGACCCCGTGCCCACACCTACTCACTACCCATTCTGTTTCACGGCCACTCCCTGCCTGTCACATTACAGATGTAAGTCCTGTGCCTGCTCACGAGCGCTCACACTTACTGACAAGCATCTTACCCCCGGTGCGCCCCGTTCCTCGCACAATATGCTCCCCATCCAAAGCCACCGGGACATCGTGTATAAAACGGCCAGCCATCGCTGTCTGCGAGCCGCCATATTCGAGTACCGAGAGCGTGCGCACTGCACCCACACCTCCGAATCAGGTACTCGAGCCCGCAGAATGCGGCAATCGGAACCCGGAGACCTAGCCCTGCATGCAAAAGCATGGGAAGCTATTCCAGGCGCGTCAGAATGGGTGCTGAGCACAGTAAAGCAGGGCTATTCATTGCAGTTTGCTCGCCGTCCCCCGCGCTTTCGAGCGCGAACCGAGACGAGAGTGAATGGGGAAGTAGCACACCTACTTCATGCAGAAATAGTGAAACTACTGTGCAAGGGAGTCATAGAACCGGTACCTCCTTCTCTGAGCGAGTCAGGCTTTTACAGCCGTTACTTCCCCGTGCCCAAGAAGGACGGAGCTCTCAGACCGATATTAGATATTAGATATTTGATCAGAGCTTTTATGAGACGACCGTTCAAAATGCTCTCAACCAGACAGATCCTCGCACAAATTCGCCCGGGGGACAGGTTTATTTCCCTCCATCTGAAAGACGCTTACTTTCAGATTCAGATAGTACCTCGTCACAGACCATTCTTGAGATTCGCCTTCGACGGCAGGTACATCAATACACTGTCCTGCCGTTCGGCCTATCTTTAGCAACCCGTACTTTCACGAAGTGCATGGACACGGCCTCGCTCCCCTGAGAAGTCAGGGCATGCGGATTTTGAACTATTTGGACGATTGGCTGATTCTAGCACAGTCAGAGAAAGAACTTATTTCTCACAGAACGGTGCTTCTCAGTCACCTGGAAAGCCTGGGTCCCACGGTCAACTGGACCAAGAGCTCATTACTGTCCAGTCAGTCAGCCTCTTTTCTGGGTATAGACCTGGACTCTGTGGCAATGACGGCCCGGCTGTCAACACAGCGTGCGTCGTGTTCAACGCCTGGCCGCATCTTTCCAGAAAGACAGAGTTGCACCTCTAAAAACATTTCAGAGGATGCTGGGTTGTATGGCATCAGCTGCAGCAGTGCTTCAGCTGGGTCTACTGCGTATGCGCCTGCTGCAACTCTGGTTGAACGCTCGAGTGCCTCACCGAGCCTGGGCGTCCGGCGGCATACGAATCAGGGTGACTCAGAGCTGCGTTTTAGCACTGAGACCCTGGTTAGCGGCCGACTGGTACTAGCGGGGAGTGACAATGGGAGCTGTCTCACACCGGAAGGTTATCTCGATAGACGCCTCCAACTTAGGTTGGGGTGCTCTTTTCGAGGGCAGAACGGTCTTTGGCATGTGGTCAGACCAAGAGAGATGCCTTCATATAAACTGTCTGGAGATGGTAGCGGTCGAGAACGCGCTGAAGCGCTTCCTCCCACACATACGGGGCCACCATGTTCTAGTCCGCTCAGACAACTTGTCTGTGGTGTCCTACGTGAACCACCAAGGCGGTGTCAGATCCAGGAATCTCTGCAAACTGATGGAACGCCTTCTCGTGTGGGCCCATCACTCGTTGCGCCTGCTGAGAGCCGCGCATGTACCGGGCCTCGAGAATGTCAGCCCAGACAGACTGTCCAGGGACAACATTCCCCCGGGAGAATGGTCCCTACACCCTCAGACAGTCCAGTCACTATGGCGCCTTTTCGGCAAAGCGGAAGTCGACCTTTTTGCGTTAAAAGACAACGCTCATTGCCTGAGATTCTTCTCGAAGAGCGAGGATGCGCTGGCCCAAACCTGGCCCAGCTGCCCGCTGTACGCTTTTCCTCCGATCTTGCTGTTACCACAGGAAATCAAGAGGATCAGGGAAACGCGCCGCTCAGTGCTCCTCATAGCCCCGCGATGGGAGAACCAAACTTGGGTTCAACTTCCGATCCCGGTGAGGAAAGATCTCTCTCAAGCCGGTGGATCAATTTGGCATCCCCACCCAAGAGCGCTGGTCTCTGCATGCGTGGATGATCAACGGATACCCGTTGCTTTGCCAGAAGGGGTCGTGAACATGATCACACAGTCTAGAGCTCCTTCTACGAGAAAGCTCTATGCGCCCTAATGGTCGGTGTTCTCCGAATGGTGCGTTACAAAGAGCCTGGACCCACGCACATGTGGGGTTTCGTGGGTGCTTTCCTTCCTTCAAGAGCTGTTGGAAATAGCCAGGTCCCCTTCCACGCTTAAAGTGTACGTTGCGGCCATTGCAGCGTTCACGGAGTTGGCGCGCGGCAAAGCGATAGGAAGGAACGAGCTCATCATCCGCTTCCTCAAAGGAGCAAGGAGGATGAATCCCCCGCAGCTCCCTTCGGTTCCTATTTGGGATCTTTCTTTGGTTTTAGAGGCCCTGAAAGTGTTTCCCTTTGAACCGTTAGAATCCGTGGACCTAAAATACCTCTCGCTCAAGACCGTTTTTCTGATAGCTCTGTCATCAGTAAAACGTGTGGGGGATCTACACGCGCTATCTGTTAGCCCCGCGTGTCTCGAGTTCGGACCAAACGACTCTAAAGTTATCCTCAAACCGAGACATGGTTATGTCCCCAAGGCGATTGGCACGCCTTTTAGAGCACAGGTCATCTCCCTATCGGCTCTGCCAGCATCCGATAGCGAAGACAGTGATAACCTCCTATGCCCCGTCAGGGCGCTGAGAGTTTCATCACGCGCTCCGCCACCTTCAGGCGTTCTGAGCAGCTATTTGTTTTGTTTGGAGGGCGCACCAAGGGTCTCGCTGCCTCGAAACATAGCCTGTCCAGATGGATAGTGGACACTATCGCAGCAGCTTATGCGTCCAAACACCTGCAGTGCCCTATGGGCATCAGGGCCCATTCCACTAGAGGCATGGCTTCGTCGTGGGCTTGGTCCAGCGGGATTTCTATTCACGATATTCTTTTTTATTTTTTATTTTTTATTTAACAGTCAAACATACAAACCAACATAGTGCAGCAGTGAGCAATCTTGTAAATCCATAATTCCAGAAGTGACATAAAAGTGATTTAAGTGTTTGATCTAAGTGTGTATGTGAGCGGGTGTGAGTGTGGGTATGTGTATGTGTATGTGTGTGTATGCGTAAACAAAGTAACCATTTATTATCTATTACCATTGTCATTACAATCACCACCCTACTCCTCACTACCACCACACTGCCAATATTGTGTTGGTCGATTTTTATTTCCATCCTACCTCCTATGTAACAATTGCCATTGTCAATCCTGCACAAAATAAAAGATGATATAAGATATAAGATAACCTTCCCCCACATCTCATCAGTCCCTATCTTTTCCTAATTTTTTTTTATTTTTTTTTATTATTTTTTTATGTGCAATGTCTAAGGTGCATTAAAAGAGGGAGTACAGTGCGAGAGTGTCTCAAATTGGGACAGAGATGCTGTCCCGTTGAAACCACTTCTCGCCTGTCTTGCCTGCCTTGGTGTTTGTTAGGTTTTCCATACATATTCCTTTTTTTTTTCTTTTTTTTTTTTCTATGTTGTGTTGCATTAAAAGCCCATGAAGAGATAAGGGGGGAGTTATTGCAGTAGTGATGACAATGACACTTAATTCCAATACAGCATTGACAATGGCAAGATTAATGATAATAATTATGATAATAATAATATTAATAATAAATGACAATGATGATGGCAGTGGCGACCGCAATGGTATTCACGATATTTGTATGGCGGCAGGCTGGGCCTACCCCTCTACATTTGTAAGGTTTTATAACCTGGAAGTTCCCGCCTTGCAGGCTAATCTTTTATCAGTCTAGCGATGTGTATGTTCTGCCCAGCGGTGCATGTGCCGGTTACTCTCATGTCACTACTCTCATGTCTTCTGGTTGAGCTGCACAAAAGGGTGAGACTCTCTATACATCGACCGGCGGAGCGGCTCTATGTTTTTCCTATTATGTGCTTATGTACTGGTGTTGGCCCGCGTTGCCGGCCGCCTTTACTCCATGCGTTTATACGTAGACCGGCGGAGCCGCTCTGTATTCCTATCAAGTGCTTATTACATGTGCTGGCCCGCGTTGCTGCCGCCTGTTCCCCCATGTTATGCTCCCCGGGTTTCCCCCGGTACTCATGCAGTGAATGCTCGGCGCGCATGGCGTTGACAAGGGGTTCCCGTGGCGTAAGCAACTTACGCAATACGAGAGAACCTCTCATTAGAGAACATACTCGGTTACCTAACTAAACCTTGGTTCTCTCTAGAAGAGGGAATGTGTATTGTGTAACCTGCCGTGATCGCGCCACGAGCTTATTCGCTTCAGTCTATGAAAACCAGAGTTCAGCCTGTTGAGCCCTTCTTTTATATATGCTAGCCACACCCATTCTGGCGGGCTGTGACGCGTGGAGGGCGCGTAGGGCTCACCGGAAGGCTGCTGCAGTTTAAGCAGGACAGCTAATGAGCACGCTTACACAGCCTTTTATGTTCTGCTGTCTGCCGCACTGCGTTGACAATAAATTCAAAATTAAGGATAATTTTTGGCTTCAGATCTCAAGAAAAGATTACTTTACCCGTAGCGTAAGCAACTTACGCAATACGAGAGAACCTCTCGTAGGAGAATAGAAGTCTTTAAAGGCCATTTATTTTGGAAAAAAACATCAGAATGTCCTGAAACATTGTAGTTGACACCGTGAGAAGGTGTCCTCTCCAGATGAGGTGGAATTGGTCTGTGGAAGCTAGGACTTTTAGTTTAATGATTTTCTGAATGTATGGACAAAACAGGTAATATATGAGTTTTGATGGGCTCTTATTTTGTAAAACAACATCAGAATGTCCTGAAACACTGCAGTTGACACCTTGAGAAGGTGTACTCTCCCGCTGAGGTGGAATTGGTCTGTGGAAGCTAGGACTTTTATTTTTTATAATTTTCTGAATGTATGGACAAAACAGCGTATATATGAGTTTTGGGGGGCTCTTATTTTGTAAAACAACATCAGAATGTCCTGAAACACTGCATTTGACACCTTGAGAAGGTGTACTCTCCAGCAGAGGTGGAATTTGTCTGTGGAAGCTAGGACTTTTATTTTTATGATTTTCTGAATGTATGGACAAAACAGGTAATATATGAGTTTTGTGGGGCTCTTATTTTGTACAACAACATCAGAATGTCCTGAAACATTGTAGTTGACACCTTGAGAAGGTGTACTCTCCAGATGAGGTGGAATTGGTCTGTGGAAGCTAGGACTTTTATTTTTATGATTTTCTGAATGTATGGACAAAACAGCATACATATGAGTTTTGATGGGCTCTTATTTTGTAAAACAACATCAGAATGTCCTGAAACATTGCAGGGGACACCTTGAGAAGGTGTCCTCTCCATCTGAGGTGGAATTGGTCTGTGGAAATTAGGACTTTTATTTTTATGATTTTCTGAATGTATGGAGACAACAGGTAGGCCTAATATATGAGTTTTGATGGGCTCTTATTTTGTAAAACAACATCAGAATGTCCTGAAACTTTGCAGGGGACACGGTGAGAAGGTGTCCTCTCCATCTGAGGTGGAATTGGTCTGTGGAAATTAGGACTTTTATTTTTATGATTTTCTGAATGTATGGAGACCATAGGTAGGCCTAATATATGAGTTTGGGGGGCTCTTATTTTGTAAAACAACATCAGAATGTCCTGAAACATTGCAGGGGACACCTTGAGAAGGTGTCCTCTCCATCTGAGGTGGAATTGGTCTGTGGAAATTAGGACTTTTATTTTTATGATTTTCTGAATGTATGGAGACAACAGGTAGGCCTAATATATGAGTTTTGGGGGCTCTTATTTTGTAAAACAACATCAGAATGTCCTGAAACATTGCAGGGGACACCTTGAGAAGGTGTCCTCTCCATCTGAGGTGGAATTGGTCTGTGGAAATTAGGACTTTTATTTTTAAGATTTTCTGAAAGTATGGAGACAACAGGTAGGCCTAATATATGAGTTTGGGGGGCTCTTAATTTGTAAAACAACATCAGAATGTCCTGAAACTTTGCAGGGGACACGTTGAGAAGGTGTCCTCTCCATCTGAGGTGGAATTGGTCTGTGGAAATTAGGACTTTTATTTTTATGATTTTCTGAATGTATGGAGACAACAGGTAGGCCTAATATATGAGTTTGGGGGGCTCTTATTTTGTAAAACAACATCAGAATGTCCTGAAACTTTGCAGGGGACACGGTGAGAAGGTGTCCTCTCCATCTGAGGTGGAATTGGTCTGTGGAAATTAGGACTTTTATTTTTATGATTTTCTGAATGTATGGAGACAACAGGTAGGCCTAATATATGAGTTTGGGGGGCTCTTAATTTGTAAAACAACATCAGAATGTCCTGAAACTTTGCAGGGGACACGTTGAGAAGGTGTCCTCTCCATCTGAGGTGGAATTGGTCTGTGGAAATTAGGACTTTTATTTTTATGATTTTCTGAATGTATGGAGACAACAGGTAGGCCTAATATATGAGTTTGGGGGGCTCTTATTTTGTAAAACAACATCAGAATGTCCTGAAACTTTGCAGGGGACACCTCTCCATCTGAGCTGGAATTGGTCTGTGGAAATTAGGACTTTTATTTTTATGATTTTCTGAAAGTATGGAGACAACAGGTAGGCCTAATATATGAGTTTGGGGGGCTCTTAATTTGTAAAACAACATCAGAATGTCCTGAAACATTGCAGGGGACACCTTGAGAAGGTGTCCTCTCCATCTGAGGTGGAATTGGTCTGTGGAAATTAGGACTTTTATTTTTATGATTTTCTGAAAGTATGGAGACAACAGGTAGGCCTAATATATGAGTTTGGGGGGCTCTTAATTTGTAAAACAACATCAGAATGTCCTGAAACTTTGCAGGGGACACGTTGAGAAGGTGTCCTCTCCATCTGAGGTGGAATTGGTCTGTGGAAATTAGGACTTTTATTTTTATGATTTTCTGAATGTATGGAGACAACAGGTAGGCCTAATATATGAGTTTGGGGGGCTCTTATTCTGTAAAACAACATCAGAATGTCCTGAAACTTTGAAGGGGACACGGTGAGAAGGTGTCCTCTCCATCTGAGGTGGAATTGGTCTGTGGAAATTAGGACTTTTATTTTTATGATTTTCTGAATGTATGGAGACAACAGGTAGGCCTAATATATGAGTTTGGGGGGCTCTTATTTTGTAAAACAACATCAGAATGTCCTGAAACTTTGCAGGGGACACCTTGAGAAGGTGTCCTCTCCATCTGAGGTGGAATTGGTCTGTGGAAATTAGGACTTTTATTTTTATGATTTTCTGAATGTATGGAGACAACAGGTAGGCCTAATATATGAGTTTGGGGGGCTCTTATTTTGTTAAACAACATCATAATGTCCTGAAACTTTGCAGGGGACACGTTGAGAAGGTGTCCTCTCCATCTGAGGTGGAATTGGTCTGTGGAAATTAAGACTTTTATTTTTATGATTTTCTGAATGTATGCAGACAACAGGTAATATATGAGTTTTGGGGGCTCTTATTCTGTAAAACAACATCAGAATGTCCTGAAACTTTGCAGGGGACACGTTGAGAAGGTGTCCTCTCCATCTGAGGTGGAATTGGTCTGTGGAAATTAGGACTTTTATTTTTATGATTTTCTGAATGTATGCAGACAACAGGTGATATATGA